GATGGCAAAAAGACAGTATCAAATTGGCCAGGCAGTATCTATTAGCCAGAGAAGGTCCACGGCCACCGACAGGGGTAGCGGAAAAAAACGGCCATATATAAAAAGGTAACGATCGTTCCCCCACAACCTCTGCTTGGAGAGTAGAGTAATCATCTACGTGTAAAACGTAAATGTTGCCTTTCCCGGGGCGGGAGAGAAACCCTACACCCGGACCCGTGGCGCGCCGGCTCGTCTGTTCTTGCGGCCGCGCTAATTGAGGAGGCGTGGCCAGGACCTACCAGAGGTGCAAAATAACAAATTAAAAATAGATGAGCTGCGAAACGGTCCCGTCAGTTGTTTCAAAAACTCAGGAACGGGGCAGTCAAGAGGAGGTCACCTGGAAGAGGCGAATTCTGAAAGTCATACGAACTTTGGAGCACTCTTTCCCTGAGATTCGCTGGATTTCCTATTCCAACCAGACGTTACACCGAGGTGAGGAAGCGTTTGTTGTTTGTTGTAATGTTTGTGTCAACCGTTTCGCACCTACGTGTGTGACAAACGTAAGTCTTCACTCGTCCCAAGGAGGTGAAATCGCTTTATGTCACATGTAGACGAAACATTTCGTGTCCTCGTTACTTCAACCGATCTCGAGCTGCATGTGGTTTTATAGCTGCACATGTCTCTCGTGAAGGTGTACGTTCGAGCTAGTTGAGTTTATTCTAAAGAAAACTTTCTATAGAAATGACTCCATAGTCTTGAGTTATTCAGTTCCTTGCAAACAAAATCGTTACCAGTTTTATGTTACCTTTATTTGTTTTGAGGGAGCACAAATATTTTTAACTTTATAATTTTACCCGTCCCGAGTCACTACATCTTCCCTAAAAACTCATTGAGATTATTCTCGTAAAAATCATCATTCCGTATTCTTCGCATTGTTTAGAAATACACACGCGTAAGCAGTAGGCTGTAGAAGTTACAGCTGTATGCGAAAATAGGCGTACAGAACAAGAACGGTACAAGTGCGCACTCCCCCTTTTTAACACCCTCTTTTGAGCAAAATAGGATCAGAAAAGTAACTTGTACACTTTGCATGACCATGTGTGCTCCACCCTTTTCACACTAAACAAGAACAGATTAGATTCGTATGGTTTCTTTCCGTTTGATGTCAGTAGTTGTCACCTTCCTGTGAAATACTCAACGAGAGAATTTTTACACTTTCAAATAGGATTAAAATTATCTGAAGTGCCTTCGTGACAAGGTGCGAAATTATTGATGTGGAAATGAAATGCAGTTGTTCTCACTGCATTTTACTTTACGTGAACTTGTGGTATGCTGATATTGTGATAATGAACGAAATCCTTGCTTTGTAGCTTCTACTACTCTCTGTCATGTAGTCTTCAAAAGCGGCTGGAAAGAGTAGAAATTTGCCAAAGATACAGATAACATGCCAGGGAAATTAGCTAGCAAACATTACTTCTTTAGCGAACCAAACTACTGTTGGCCAATTTCAGTTTGCCAATTTCTGCTCTCCCAAACGTCTACGGATCCGAGCATGGAATGATTCGGCGACCAAGAAAGTTTTATGAAAACCTGTACCGTTAAAATAAAAATCCATTTACAGCGTAGAATTTTCAAAACTGGCCAGGCTGTATCCATTTGCCTGACAGTTGCCATTTCGCCACCCAAGCAACTGTCTGGATACACCCTGGCCAATTTGATTCTGTCTTTGCAGCCACCAAAAGCTTGGAGATAAAGTCATGATGTGCACAAAAGTTCGAGTAAGTTTTCATGTCTTCGCCTGCCTGTACAGTTGCCACCATGCCAGAGCTCGCCGCCGCGGCAAGAATCGACAGCTCGTCGGGAGACGAGAGCGACGTAGACCGCCGAGAGACGGTCCGCTACCACCCGGTGCTCTCCGCGGCCGAGCTCGAGGCCGAACGGGAGCGGGAACTCCAACAGAGGCGCACGGCGAGCGAGCGGGAACGCGCCCGAATGAAAGACATGAACCGAGCGTACGAGGCTCTACGGACCAAGCTTTCGCATCGAAGGGAACCAGGCAAGAAGCTGTCGAAGATTCAGTGTCTGAAGTTCGCCATTGAGTACATTTCGGACTTGGAGGAATCGTTGACGATGTCCTATAACGAGAGAACGGCGACGGCGGACTATGTCTACTGGGCTAAAACTCGGGGATACATTTGGGCCAAGGAAAAGGTATTTCTTAAAGACTTTCTTCTTCTCATTATCAGTAGGAAAAGTACGTATTTTCAATGGGCATGAAACCAAGTTCAGGCATTAGATACTTTTGTTTTGTCTGAAGTTGCGACTGTAGTTTTCGTGGCAGGTACTCGTACAACGTCAGTTTCGCGTGTTTTTTTTTGCCGAGCCTAGAATGACTGCATCTACTGGACAGGAATTGTTTCTCTCATAACTAAATTTTGTTTCCATTCTAATGTCTGTCAGTTTGTAGATTGTAAAAGTTTTAACACATTGGACTTGAAGCGAGAAACACATGTTCAGAGGCGTGATAGACCAGAAACACACTCTCTCCCAACATGGGGTGTTTTAACTCTAAGGCTTACCTTGACTGTGTTCGTCATTGGTCAAGCACTATCGTTTTGTTACATTTTTTATTTGAAAAATCATACCCGAAGGCTAATTGCTTTTACAGTCAAAAATCCAATAATAGGAAACAGACAACTACTGTCTGGAAAAACTTATACTTCTACTACTACAGTTGCTATTATGACGTTTGACTTCTTCCTAGTGGATAATGAATAGTCCCACATACTGCATAGTGAGTGGGTTTTGTGATCTTAGTAGAAACATAGTCTTTTGGTGATCTTCTAAATGATAAAAGGATGGAGAAATTGTGGTAACCGTCTGAAATAACCTGTTTCTGTCGGTCTCAAAGTGAGGACACTGGCTAACAAAATGTATTTTATTTCTCGCTTCATTTCCAGGCCGCACAAATGCCAAACGAAGGCCGCCGTCCCCCTGTTTCAAGTCTGCCATTCCCCGATGTTTCTACTACCTCAAAACACAACAGCAGCTCTGTCAACAACAATGACATAAATACAAACAACAACGCGCACATGTGTAGCCCAGTTCACCCCTCGCCTGTGGTCAGCCCTACACGCCCGGCTAGTAGTAACATTACGGTATACGGGTTCGATTCCCAGTGTGTACAGGACTACAGTCCGGCCAGTCTATGGACGCTGAGTAAAGAAAACAGTCAGGAGTACGATTCAAACGACGCGGAGTTGGCCTGGAGTGAATGGAGTACGGAACAGGGAACATGCGACATGGACGCACCTCAGCATTATCTACAAAGATATGACTCTTGTTTCGGCACCAGTACGGTTTGAAATGCTTCATACATGTTCAATAACATCGATAAGTTTCATATTTTCACATTACCGAGAATGTATACTAAAATATAATTGATTCGTAATATTCTATGTTATACATGTGGCATAGATAGCAGTTTACAGTAGTGAAGCCATGCAGTGAACCTTGTTTTAAAATTTAAGGGGGCGTAATTTGTGAGCCAGTTTATTTCCGTACAATGATTTTTTGTCGACCAGTTGTATGAATTTAATAGCTTTTACCAAGCTTCGGGAGCGGCTGAAAAGAGTAGAAATTGGCCATACACTGGTACTAGTAGACAGATACTAGTAACATGCCTGGTGGTTTGGTCCGCTATATCAACAAGGAGTACAGTTGACGTAGGTGGTGAATCACCTCTCATGGCATATTATCTGTCTATTTGGCCAATTTCTACTCTTCCCTGTCGCTTCCAAAGCCTGGTAGAGGCTATGAGTATGAATTTCTGGAATTTCGGACTGGTTGAAGGTTGAATATTCAACATGGCGGCGAAGGCCGACAAAGGGAAGGTGACAATCTCCTCCGTGCTGAGATCAGAAACGCGGCGACAAAAACAAGAAAACACAGAAATCCGTCTCAGGTTTAGCCCCCTGCCTGGTCTCACTTCTCTCGAGACCACCAAGTCCGTTGCTCCTGATCATAATCTCATGCTAATTACTGGGAGAACTTGTCGTTCCCAGCGGGGGGAAAATGAGTCCTGGTACGAGAGTGGGAGGGGGATCTTTCCCAGAAATGCACTTGACCGTGAGCTTTGTAATAACTTGAAGCAAATACAGTTATAACCATTTGACCGTGAACTTAACTTGATGCATTTATAGAAATACATTTATAGAAACATATCGAGACATATACTAGGATAGAGACTCATAGCAAAAAAGTACTGTATAGTTTATATGTTTTTCGTTGGTCCATGTCTTTGTGTTGAGAAAACGAATGTAATAAATCTTTATCTGACTCGGCATGTGTTTTCAGTACATGCTACGGCCAATTAAGTACACAAATTAAGTGTACATGTATTAGAAATAGATTGTACAAATGTATCATTGGTTTGCTGTAAAACGCACATTAAAGGAAAAGGATTATATAAACTCTCGTATTTCCTTTTGTTAATGTTGCTCATGCTTTCCAAGAACAAGAATGTTAAAACTTCAAAAGGAACTTAAATGAACTCCCATTTCGGTCTGCAATCGGGGCGGTGGTGAAAATGGTAAAAACATTAATAAAGTTCTTCATAAAGATTACTTGGTTGATACTACCGCTGTTTACAAGGTTTTGGAAGGTGCTAGCTTAGAAACTACAAAGTATTTGTCTTTTATACCTTCGTGAATCGTCCTGACATTTGGTTTTCTTAAAGAACTGGCGGGGTTCACTTTGCTCTTAAAGTGAGCGAATCTCGTCTTTACTGGGATTTACCGAGTCGGTTATTGGGAGCACGTGTGACCTTAGCCGTGTTCACAGCACCTCCAGATGACGACGTGTTCCATGAGGGGGGAGGGGGGCAGTCATATCACAACTAGTCTGCAGACGTCATGTCGTGACTGACCTTTTCCAATCGCCTAATTTTGTTCTCACTTAATCTCCACTAGAAGATCTTTGGTGGCTGTGAGACAGTATCAAATTGGCACGACAGTATCCAAAATTAGTTACCCGTTTTGCAGGGGTAAGAAAAAGGTACCAGTAGTACAAAAAGAAAGCAACACGTCAAAAAAAAGCTAAAGCTCCTTGGCGATGTAGTATATAAATATGTATACAATTCTGTATCTGTATCTGTGTAGCCGGTATAACCTCCCTTCGGCGTAACACACCAGCGCGTTTCTGAAATTCTGTGAACGAAACACGAGCCAAGCCCTGCATCTGCTTGGAGATTGTTTATTGTGGCATCTCCAGTTTTCCGTCTTGCTCTTCCAATCATTACAACAAACAAACAAACAAACAAACAAACAAACAAAGAAACAAAACAGTTTCAGAGAGGATGGCGATAGAGCAAATTGTAATAATTCTGCAAAAACAGGACCTAGCTAAGCTATACCCAGACTAACATGGGAGTGCTTCCAATTAAGCTTATCCCCTTCCTTGCACATGACCTGTTCCCGGGTTAAGAAACGTAAGCCCCGCACTTGGCACCTCGAGCTCAGTAGTACTCTGTGAAACTTGCTACGTGGGTGGGCATATATGCTTGTACTTATAGTTCCTACAGTACAAGATATTTTATCGTTGTAGACCGCACTCAGTGAAACGAATTGAAAAAAAAATTGTTAAAAAAAATCATATTGAAGCATAGAAAAGTAACATTTGCAAAGCAACTACATAATTTTTATCTTCGTATATGGTCTGCTCTGCTAATTCTTACTCAAATACATTAATATGTATGGCCAGACAGGAGTCTAAATCCCTACTACTATAAAATTGCAACATTATGTAACCCAACACCAGTTACCATGGTGAGAGGCGTCAACAAATCAGGTCATTGATCAGTGTTTGGAACGGAAGAAGAAGAGGAAACGTAGCAAAAACAATATGTTTTCCTTCGGTAAACATAATTAACCCACTACTTCTCCTGACATCTCAGTGTCAGTACTGAAACCGTCGTTGTTTATGCCCGGCCCGGCCGACGACCCTACTGTTTCCGAAATATTGGACACCGAAGATTCGCTCCTGTTCGGTCTCCCATACTTCTGTAACTTGTACACCTGTCCCTTGATATCCGCCTCCCTCGCTTTCACATACCCTCTATACACAAGGAGAACAATTCCCATAATAATTATGATTCCCTCTTTCGCCATGAACAGGTAAAAAGTACTGGATAACTTCGTGATGTTAAAGAGTAGGCTCAGTGCTTTCTGCACGGTAGAACCCTCGGCGTCGTTTCCGTACTGGACGGCTATGATGATCCGCACACCGAGAAGGAACACGTTCGAAATGACGACGAAGACTTCCGTGTACCAGCGACTGTTTTCCGAGTATTTCCGAGTGCTGTCCGACTTTTCCCGATCTTGTTCCGAAGAGTCCCGATGTTTACCCGAGCTCCCCCGAACGTCGAAGACCACCACCACGAAACTGTAGCAGACGAAGATGTAAGTGACTCGCGTTAAGACGGGCCAGTCGACGAAGAAGGTAGCTTTTTCAACGATTTCGCTGATCAGATTCGTAGCGTCCAGTCCCTCAGTCAGCCACAGCTTGCACACCTCTATGTGCTGTTTCAGCTTTGACACGCGAACGCGTCTGTTCTCTGCTTTGTAGTCGAAATCCAGGAACCTGGCGACCACCAGGACAGCTGCGGACATTTGGATGAACAGGAACATCTAAGGAAAAGAGATGAAAATTTATTCAAAGAAGTCTTTTATTCAAAAGAAATTGAAGTTTATTCAAATAATTTCATCCGAGTTACATGTGGCGAGTCTATGATAGTGCGAAGACTCGTGCGTGCACTTTAAATTTGCTGGCCAAATTGGTCTGTTTTGACGTAGACTGCGTTGTCGTATCTATGTCTATCACATTCGAACTTTGGAACTACTTAAACTTTAACTCTGAAAACAAGGCAATCAACGTCACACATAAAAAAATGCTCCCTCCTCCCTTCATCGTACCTTTCGGAGCATCTCGGTGTGGTTGCGCAGTGTCTCTGTTGTAGTGTCGTCAAAGGCAGACAGCGACTCTTCTTCGCACGGCTTAGAGGAATTTGGTCCTCTCTGACACGCTAACGTTGGCGATACTTTAACAGAAACGTTTATTGCAGTCGTGCTTGACTCAACCGTTGCTGACATTGCTGCGGTTCTCTGTGCAGTCGCTAGGGGCGTGCTTACACCTGTTGATGCTTTAGAAGCTGCTAGAGTGGTAGAATCAGTGGGATGCGATCCTAAAACACTGCCAGTAGTTGTTGTACAGTTGTCACCTGCTGTATAGCTCAAAGCGCGCCTCACGACGTTACGTGGATCAATAGAATTATTCTCTGGAACATTATTTTCTTCGGACTGGTTCTTGAGTGCCAAGGCTGAGGTGCAGTTTTCAAGTCTGACCGTTTCCTCTACACCCCCAGTGGAGTTTAACACCTTCACGACCAGCTCATCCCCGATGTCCCTGCCGTGAACGCTGCTCAGCTCGTCTCCTAGACACTCGGGTCGGAACGTGACCACCTGAATGAACGAAGGAATGAGTGAGTGAATGAATGAATGAATGAATGGTTTATTTGATCATCAATATGATCGAGTCAAAAGTACATCGCAAATATAGGCTGAATGGAGTACTTTTATATATTAAAAAACTGATGGCATTAGGCTCTTTACCAATTTACCAAGCAGAGAACAATATAATGTATGTCGGAGATCTGTTTCTGAGTCTGTTCGTTTAGGAGGTTGGTCATGAATGTATTTATTGGCCATGGACTGCTCTGATATCTTTTTACCTCCGGGGAAGGAGATATCCTTCCGCGAGGAGGTTTTACTATGGTTCGAAACATTTCTGTCAGCAGCTGTTTCTCGCGATCGGCTGGACGGATTTGTCTGTGGTTCGGTATACGTATTGCTATTGGGCTGCAGATGATGCAGAACGTTTTTGTTTAATTGCATATGTGTTTATGGGCGTCGAAATAAAAGGTTTTTAAGTGCTCCGGACACCCCCGCCATGCTGAAAATGGTAATTACCATGTTGTTAAGGAATGGGGCGGTTGCAGTTTTGGGTCTTAGCATTCAAAAGGGGTCAAACAGAGGGGTGTCTGGTTCCGATAAAAATTTTGGGTGACGGCGCAGCAATGACGGCGCGGGATGACGGCGGGGGTAATGGCGCGGGTGACGGTGCAGGCTGTCAGACTGTGAGACACGTTAATCAACAGTCCATACCGAACCAACCGTCAGTAGCCATCAAACACATACAAACATATTACGCACATAACTTTCATACTACACACAAACAAATAACCTAAACCAATAGAACACAAAAAAACCCGGAGGTTTGAAATCTACAATTTCCCTTGTTGTGTTTGTTCTAATGCCAGTCAGAAGGTGTACCACACAGAAGGTCGTGTGGCGTAGCGGCAGCGTGCTCGACTCGGAACCAAATGATCCCGGGTTCGAGTCCTGACTTGCCACCGATTTTGTGCCCTTGGGAAAGGCACTTTACACGACTTACCTGAGTATTATCTTGTCCTGTATACATCCTCTGCGTTGGTGGCGGCATAAAATAAATTGATATGACTTGAGCGTGCTGTCACCATGTCTTGTCATGAAATGTTGGAATATATGTATAAACTAGAAAAGTAACATTTGCAAAGCAAATGCATCATGTTTACCTTCGGATATGGTCTGCTCTGTTAATTCTTTCTCAAACACATTCACATACATGTATATCTATGGTGACAGGAGCCTAAATGCCTTCTCTGAAATTGCAACATGATGTAACCCATGTAACCCAACACCAGTTACTATGGTGACAGACGTCAACAAAAGAGGCCATTGGCCAGGTCAGGGGTTAGTGTTTGGAACAGAAGAAGAGGAAGAAGAAATGGAGCAAAAACAATATGTTTTCCTTCGGTAAACATAACAAAGGTGTACCACACCTGCCCTAAGGCAGCGTTCTCCCCCGCGTACCTACAGGTACAGACGTACGGCGTGGCGATGCCCGGCGGGGCCCCGGCCGGGGGAAACAGCCCGTCGGTCAGAGCGTCCCGACACAGGCAGGTGGTTTCCGCAGGCTCCCGTGGAAAGTCGTGCAGCCAGATCTCCACGTTCACCACCACGTAAATTATCACCTGTATGGTGAAGAACACCTGAGGCAGGTACCTGATGAAAAGAAAAAACAACACTCTAATTGAAACAAAATACATAAAGGCATATGCATATATTTATGAACATTTGTTCGAGAGAAAATTCAAGTGATCCAGTTTTAGATCCCTGAAGAGCTAATCTCCCACTGGTCGTGACAGAGAAGACAGACGCTATGACTGTAGGTAATCGTTCGTGACATTGTTGCTGGGTCATATGCACAACATACATTTGATATTCACAGCATGTACTCTTCAAAGAACTCAGATATAGCCTTAGGGCAATCCCCTCCATGTACACCTTTGTTATTTTTGTATGGCGTCTGAACTGGTTTTGGGGAACCTCGCACGAAAAACCACTAGGTTTCTGGCCTACCCAGTATGATCTTTCTATTGATGTTACTACATGATTTGTTTCTTTCTTGTGTGGAAATGACTGAGCTATTAAAGAACACAGGACGAAGAACACACCTCCCCTGTAGCCAGACGACATACGCCGCGAGGAGGATTGTGGGTATTCCATAGATCCAGACCCAAAATGGCCGCGTCTCCAGCAAGGTCACCCCTCTGACAACCGCCGCCCCGACCACTTCACCCAAGGTCACCTGAAGGTTAAACGTAGAAACTAGGTCTTCTACACGGTTCGAACAACGCCACGGTGTTTTAGAATGCAAGAAAATATTTCAGACATTGGAAGAATACAAAAACACAGTGTACCATTTTATTCACAGCAATGATTTTAATAAAACGGCTCACTGGCTTTTTGTATTCTTCAAATATTTTAGTACAAAGCAACGAGGGTATAGAAAGGAACCTCCAGGCCATTCTAGATAAAATGCTATACTGGATTTTTGTATTCATCAAATATCTTAGGACTCTTAGGACAAGGTCATTTTACAGCTAAAACGACGTACTGGCTTTTTGCATGCTTCAAATATTTTAGGACAAAGGAATTCTGTCAGGTAATTTTAGAAAGTTAAAATAACATAAATCTCTTTACCTGCACGTTCTTGTGTTCCTTGAGGACGAGGTACTGTAGGTAGAGTAGGTACCCGCAGTACGCCGACAGGACCGCCCACGACAGGACTGTCCCTATTCTCGGCACCCGCCATTTGGGTCGGCTGGGACGGCAACCTTCCGGCAACTTCTTACACTTCCCACACGGCATGATAACCCCGTATCCTGGTCACCGAAACGTCAGGAAATAGTCGATGTATCAACTGTTGTTTTATCCTTGAAGATAGAGCCAGCCGCTTAACATGAGAGACACACACACAAGAAGGGCAAGAAGACACTCCAGTTCCTGTCAGTGTGGTATAGTGGTGCCTTGGAGATCGTGGCTTTGTTTCAATCCCGATTTGGCCAGGAAACAGCTTCGAAGCGACTACAACCTTCACTGAGACCCTTACCCCGATGAAGCAAAGATTCTTCTGTAGAATAATTATTGGATGTCAATGGATATCTTACCGCGAGAAATCCGTAGCACCCAAAAGCAAAAACAACGTATATCTGCACTCTGTTGCACACAAACAATAAACGACTTCGATGAATTCGGAGAACCGATCCACCAGGTTGTGTCCACCCAGAAATTGTGCAGTCACCTCAAGCAGTGCAACCCTTCTGTAGAATGTTAATAAGGTCAAGCTGAAGAACACTGTCACGCAATTCAGGTAGGTTGTACATATACAATAAATCATAAATGTAAGGGTGACCATATGTATGCTACGTATATATATGTTCAGTTCAATGAATCCAAGAGGAGTAGAAATGCATGTATTGTTTTTTTTTTCGTTGTGCCGCGTCAAGTAATGTAGTGTCGTAGACCGACACTTGCCCCTATCATATACGTAATTTTAGCACTGTACCGTAAAGAAAGGTTCGTTGCTTGTTAAGGTTTCATACAAGTTCAGGAAAAAGTAGTGGAACTCCCCTTACAGTTTGCCGGTTTAGACATTACACAAGGTGTGCAGGTCAAAGACACAATAGAACGCAACAGAACACTCGTGCCTGAGGCCCATTACTTACGTTTCAACAACTCTGGGCAGACAGATTGTGATCAATAATTTAGATGGTTTCTTCGCCAGGAGTGATTCACTGCAGTTTTTCGTGTAAAGAACTTTGCTATTCATGGGTGTGAAGTGTTTATTACCTCATAATACGGACGTTTTGTTTTCGGTATTTCTGTTTGTGCGTGTGTTTCGGTATATCCGTATGCTAGACACGTTGCCAGCACTAACAGGAAGTTAGGTCAAAGGTCCCAGAAAGGTACTAGAAATGGTTACTCAATTTCCTGTCTTTGGAAACGTGATGCACGAAGAATGAAATTGTGATATTCTGTGTCCGTATTGTATAGCCGAGATAGCCACCCTAAGGCGTAACACATGGGCTTTTTCACAGCTAATTGTCTCTATGAATAAACGAGACCAAGTTTTCTTGGCGTTTATTGCATCTATAAAAGCGAAGCACACCAAAGCGTTTACAATCTCACAAAAATACTACAATATCAAAGATATAGTACAAGCCGGACAATTCTGTTATTTCATTACATTTTCTTCATAGTATATTTAGACACTACCAGACATAAGCCGCACTATAGTAATGTAGTTTCATACAATTGTATTAAAAATAGTACATAGCAAAGATAGAGCTTAAAATATAACAGATGTTACATTTTACCTATAAAAATCTCCAGCCTTGAATGTGTATGCCATTTTAAAACGTACATGTAAAGCTTCTGTGTACTGTATTCCAAATATCAACCTTTATAATTCTACGACGGATTTAAAACTATTTTTGCTGTTTAAGATTGTTTTGTTTTGTTCATGCTTTGTTGTGTAACACTGTTGAAGTGATGGTAAGAATAAGCAATTTTTGTGACAAAACAATACAGAAAACTGCGCATTTCTACCTTGCACACACACTGAGACCTATGATATTTTCATACAGATAGAGACTTTAACAAAGGTGTACTAGTAACAAACCAACATCTATATAAAGTATCTTCCTCAAGGATTGTCAGCCAATATATCTAGGTCTGAAGACCAATAAGACAAACTGTATTGAAAATACAATCTCTTCAATATATATAAATACGCTGTTTTTGTTATAAACTTTGGAAGTATACAGTACACGTACATGTATAATCTGAATACAGACGTCCCAACATTCCATTATAAAGCTTTTTAAGGGTTTTACGTGATCACATTTCATAATATAACAATTACATGTACAGGTACGATTTGATATACAGCTATATATCTTAGGGAGGGACAAAACTGTATTTACCTATTTCCTAGATTAAGGCCCACTTCAATGACAACTTTCTCACATAAAAACAAAAAATAATCTATAATCTTTTTGGCAGAGGTATTGACAGCACTAGCATCGTGAATGCCAACTGGAAATCAAAGTGTTTATGTGGTCACTGTGGTCAAAAATATCCAGGTTTACTGCCCTGAAGTCGCTTTGGGTTAGCCTGGAGTCCAGCCTTGTTAGGTTCAGTCAACTCCTTGTTAGCTTTAGTCCGCCGTTGGCTAATCTCCAAGCAGATCATACGGTGGCAATGCAGTATCCATTGGCCAGAGAAGTGTCCATTTCTCCTTCGGTGGCCGTACAAACTCCTCTGGCTAAAAGATACTGTCTTGCCACCGAAAGGGATCTGCTTGGAGATTAGGCGTTGGTGGGGTAGCGATCTTGGGGAGCGGACTAAAACTAACAAGGCTGGACTCCAGGCTAGCTTTGGGTGTCCCTAGTTTACCCCACGACACTGCCGATGATTTGCGCGGGGAGGATGACGACGAAGTAGACGGGTATGATGATGAGGACGATGATGAGGGTGGCGATGCCGATGCCCAGGCTGATCTTGGAGAACAGGTTTGCGTTGCTGGAGGAAGACTTCGCACCTTCCCGGTCACCGGAGTTCCACTTGGAGTCCACCTGTCCAAAAAAAAAAAAAACATGTCAAGAAAATTAGGGTGGCGTCCGGTGGTGTAGTGCATGCTAGAGCGCCCGACTATGAAACTGTGAGACCCGGGTTCGATCCCGAGCTGTACCCATGTCTGTACATGCGCCTCGACGTTTCGCCCTCGGGAAAGGCACTTAACACGACTTTCCTCACTCCACCCAGGTGTGAATGGCTACCTAACTTCGGTTGGGAAAAGTTGTATCGAGGTCACCTGGTGGGGCCGAATATTAATGGCAGCCGCATAGACCCTTGCGACAGTTCCACAAAGGTGTGTGTGGAGCAAATATTTTATAAGTACCATGTGTATCACGTAAACTAACCCAGACTAGTATACCCTACCTGACAGGAAAAGATGAGGGCGACGATTCCTGTCGGCCAGAAACAGCACATACAGGTGAAGAGCGCGAACCCGAAGTGGTCCGCTGGCTTGGAGTCCACGATCACCATCGTCGGCTGCATCCCCGCCACCTAGCGATAACAATTGGTATTACAACCACTGCTCAGTTTGGATTTGCACCGTATCTGTGACAGAGTGACACCTGTTATCATAGTGTATTCATTCTCGTTCTCCGAATTGGTTACCGGTACAGAAACATGGGAACGAAAACCTTCTAGTTTGTCAGCCTTTGTACAGTTTTACTAAAACTTCTAATAAACCTTAAAAGAGGTTCTGATAAACCACCAGTTGCACACTGGCGTCAGAAGCGGGTCGTACCCGGAAGCATTAAAGGCATTCAATGCGGTTTTTAGGGCATGGAAACCAGATTTTTCAAAGTCAATATTCTAATCAGTAATCTACATACTGGATTGAAAGAACACTATTCCAAAGTATATCGACATTTCTGGAACAGAAATACCGAAATTTCTGACGAGAATCGGTTACTGGAAGGACCTGGGTTGATTTTTACCGATCAGAAAACAAAGGACTCATCTTGAGGCTTGTTTCTGCAGTTTTGAATATGCTAATGTGGGACAGCATGTGTCACTATCATACAGATTGCCTTATTCAGAATATTTCCAGTTTTGCCGCCATGAAATTGCATTGGATGTCTATAATGACACATGATCTCACCACGACGGTTTGCTGCTGCCCCGGCTGCAGAGGCTGGGGGTACCCGGGCTGCACGGGCTGCTGGGCGTAACCCGGCGGCGCAGCGTACCCTGGCGGCGGCGGCTGGTACTGCGCCTCACCCGGCGGTGGGTACCCTATAGCGCAATATAGACACAATCTGGTTATGTTGATGAACGTTAGACATCCAGGTAATAAGATACACACAAAAACAGTTATTCAAGCAAATGGATATGGTTTGCTGATTTTGAGATTTCTCTCTCCAGTGTTACTGTCCAGTGTTACTGTCAACACTCTCCAGTGTTACTGTCATGGCGAAAGGTAGTGGACGCTACCTGAAACGTCTGACCGTTTCCAAAATCATATCCAGTTGCTCGAGTAACTGTTTTTGGCGTACAATCGGGCAAGCTTAGCATGTCCAAGAACAATAATATGTGCAAGTACAACTGGCAGGTATCTTAAGAATTCAAACATGTCCATTATCAGTTCAGTTGGCTGTTCAGCATAGGTCACGGTCGTTGAGACCAACTTCATCCTCTGACACGTTCATATGCTTTACTGGTAATATAGTATAGTAATAAGAGAATTACATTAATATTCGTGTAATTCCTACAAATCCAACAGAACTATAGAAGTAATTAGAATGATACGATGTATGTTTGTCTGCCTTACAGACTATACCCTACACCAGGCCTTTCTATGTGAATACGGATCGTAGAATTCGGCAAAAAGGAGAGTAAAAATATTAAATTGGTCAGGGGAGTCCGGCAGCGGGGAGGTTGTTCCTTTCCCTCCGAGCCATTCAAACCACAAGGCGGCCAAACTCCCCTGGCAAATATGCTCCTATATACAGCCAGCGTAGTTAGTCTGGTAGAGACTAAACCATGGACCACGTTTTGAGATCTGATGAAATATTGCTATACCTCTAGTGGCCTAGTTTTCTTGAATGGCCGATATGTTTTATGCATGCTGCATGTGATAGAGATGAAGTGAAAGGGACAGTTACTCATCAAATATTTATCGTTATAACTGAGATAGAGAATAATGAGACGTCCCGAGAGAGCTGTCTGAAAACGTTCTGAGAAATAAATTGTTGTAATGGGAGATTTTCGACCTTGCAACGCCGATTATGCACAGGGTGTTTGGACGATACATAGCAACAAGCATAAACGCGGGCTTTGTCTTCTTGTTCAGTCTCAATTATGGGTAATTTTTCACCCGGGAAAGCTGTTTGGAAATATGTATGTTCACTGCTTCACTTACGATTAGACCAAGGAGGTCCCTATTTAAACTCCTTGATTAGGCAAGCCTGCATTGCTGTAGCAAACCGCTAGGGGTATAATATTGAGAATGATGGTGAAGAACTACAATTATGTGAAGTCGCGAGTTCAACGGTGGAGACAAATTTAAATTTTGGGTATAAAAAATGGCACATTTTTCACTTGCGTCTTTATATGTAAATGGTTTATTCGCAAATTCACACAAAACTAAAACAACATTGCAGCCTAATAATATAATGTAAAAAGGGCTGAATTACGCAGTTTCAGGGAATACACAGTTGTACAAAATATCATTATTTCGCAAGCCATGTTCTACTAATCGTCAGACGGTTTCCTGTTTAACCTTTCATCTATAAAGGATGCGGCGGGTTAAAAAGTCCTTTAATAGCTCCTTAGTCCAACACTGCACGCCTTCGACAAGCACAACCACCTCCATTCCGCACGGAAATAGCACCACTTCACATCTGAAAGCCCTTCACAGTGTTTGCCACAGACGCCAGGTGAAGCCTCCGTTCTTAACATCACCATGGTAGCTAAACCGGCCGCCTTAGCGCTTACTCTGACTGTTGTTAGTAGTGGTGTGTGGCTCCAGGTAATGCAATTGTGGCCTTGGTTTTGTAGAATGGAGAGTGAATCATGTTTTCATTTGGTCGGACTGCAGTGAAAACGTTACATTGTTGGACCCACTGTGCTTATTTAATAACGCTTGTTGACATTTTTCCTGCTTTGTTTTCCTGACATTTTTCCTGCTACACATTGTTGGTTTATCGTGCCGGATTGCACTGGAGTGAGTCAGTGTTCCTGTTGAAGTACATTATAACGTGCTATTATCATGCTTGCTACCTCTTTTAGGGGCCCGATATTGTTCTGTAATTGTCATATTTATTGGAGGAAAGGCCTACGTAGATTGACTGCAACACCCCCTTTCCTCTAGATGCAGCGACCGCTTAGGTTACAGCAAGTAAATTCTATGGATGACATCCTCTGCAGGCACCAAAACTAGTGCGCGCGGGCGAATGAGAAAAAGAAATTCAGCTAGAAAAAAAATGCTGCTAAACCACAGAAAAACAAATCTGGGATTGTGAATTCGCGGCCGTACATAGTGACGTATACGACATGCATGCCAGTACATGCTGGCCTTTGCGACATTTTTGAGTCGGCACTGTACTGATTTCTTGAGTTCCGTGGAGCGTCGGAAGACTGGGTGTCATAGTGATAACAAGCGAAAATCAATGCGCGCGTGGATGTCATCCATAAAGTTAAGGCAGTGTGGCCTTACTGCCCTTAATGCCAGTCCCGGCATGTAGGGCAGCGACCGCAGAGCCTCACCAAAGATCTGACAGATCACGCGACGAACTTCAGTGATATAGAACCACTTTTAAACGCTTTGTGTGCAGGCGCAAGGTCGTGTGGTGGTAGCCTCTACCAGGCTACGTAGAGGCGGCTGGAAAGAGCCGAAATTGGCCAAATCGACTAAAAAGACAGATAACATGCCAGGGTGGCAAATTCTACTCCTTAATTTAGCAGACTGACTCTCCCGGCATGTTATCTGTTGGTTTGGTCAATTTCTGCTTTTTCCAGCCTCTTCTGAAGCCTGTTTTTCACGCCCTGGTAGAGGCTTGCCGGTTGGGAGGAATTTAGGAAGTTCAGGAATTGAGGAAGTCACAACAAGCTCTCATCCTGCAAGGTTTCTGTTGTAAGCCCGTTGAACTGAGACGGTACGTCAAATCATCTCTTGGGCTGTGCCAATAAAGTAAAAAGAAGAACTCTGAATGTTTCCCGTAAATTTAACATCAGTTCCGATTTCTTGTTGTCCTTGTTCAGGTTAGAATGAAGTCAAATACTTATACGGTACAAGTACACTGCCTCATACGCGGAAATATGATACCCTGCGCGCCGGTAAACACTTGTAAACATCATTAAGTACAGGCCAGGGTCGTCTTTTGTTTGCCTGTCCAAGAATGATCTGCACACTCTAACAACTTGACCTGTACATATCTGCCGGCAGGCAGCCTAATTAAACTACAAAGAAAAGGGCGTTGTTGTTGGAAACTTACGTCAGACGACTGAGTACTTCAAAAGTCTACCTTAATCAAATTTTATTTCAATCTGTTCCTTTTTATCCGTTTTTCTGTGCCCACGTAATGGGAATTACGCGACTACAAGCTTGGCATTGCACCAGTAGCTACTTGCAAAAAAAGCACCCGCCTTCGCATATTCATTCATTCATTCTTTATTTCAGGTAAAAAACCCATATAACATGTACAATACATCATTAAAATAATACAAAAACACTACAGACATACAAGTAAAACAGGAAGAAACCTAAAAGCATAACAAATGGTAGGTCTTCCGAAAGAATGAATTCCTGTAGAAGGCATCGGAATGAATTAAGCGACAGATTGTTGCGTTATTGGAGGAAAATAACCTTTTTAGAAAAGAATAACAAATTCTCCTCCTCCTGGTTTCAAAAGTGTCAATATAGTTACAGACAAACATTTCACTCGCGCTGCAACGCCGAGGCAGATTCATTATGATTCTAAAACAATTATCATAAGCCACTCTGCACTTATACAAAACACCAGAGCTTACAGAGCTCCATAACTGGGCGCCATATAGCTGGGCGCAATACGTTGAGGATGACAAAATAGATGTATCTATCTGTATCTGTATCTGTATAGCCGGCATAACCGCCCTTCGGCGTAACACGCCAGCTTCGCAGGCACGCGGCGTGGCGGCAGCACGACTTGTTACATCTAACCCTTCAACATCTAACTCTCGTAGATGTGCGCACACACCGTAGTTCTATTCTGTCGTTTGCAATCTTCCCTCACGTTTCGTCACGCAACAACAACAGTCGATGCAGCCAACCCTGTTATTTATATTTCCGACCTACCGGTTGTGGTTAGTGACACGAATGTTTCATGCATTCAAATGAAGCAGTCACCGTGTAAGATCCACATCTATGGCGTGATTCCTGTGTGGTTTATAGACGATAATATGAACCTCGCCGCATTATTTTTTCCTTATGAATCTAAATGAATATTTCATACATTTCTGAGTTCACAATGAGATCTTGTTATTTTCATAAGACCAGCTCTTACAACTATACCCAACCCTACTCCACCACTACTCTCAAGTTCATTGTTCAAAATTCGCAGGACCAATGATTGAAAAGAAAATACATTATTCTAAACATTTAGACGTGAGAATTTAAACATTTGACACATAGAATATCATGAATCAATATTTCCATTATAACCTAATGTGAACCTGACCTGCGTGTGTATTTAGAGAACAAAGGTTTCAAAGAATGTTTCCGTGTTCATAGTTTTTTCTCAGCACTTCCGCTTCTCAACACACACACACACACACACCTTGTGCTCTATTATTCTACTGCTGTACAATATAAAGTCTAGCTTTTTAGTAAAATGAGAGCTATTTGAAGAAGGAGGGTATTAAAAAAAGATGAATAACTTGAGATGAAAGAAATGATTAACATTAACAGTAGATGATCAGTATATTGTAATGTTGTAATATAAAGACTTTTAGCACTTAGCATTATGTAGCGGTTCAGTACTCAATAGTTCATATTTATATCCTCTAGACCTCTTTTAGTCACAAATGCATTTAGCCCACCTGTGCTGGAATATGTATATATAATTAAGATTCATTCATTCAATATTTTGAAGTTGAGACACTAGCTCACCTTGTTGTTGCATTTCCCACACTTTGTATTCTATAGTTCTTCAAACTAAAATCTAGCGGTCTTGTAAAATGAGAGCTAGTTGAGAAAAGAGGAGAAAACATACTAGATAACAATAGAAATGATTAACATTATGATTCATATTTTCAAGTTGAGATAGACATTAGCTCACCTTGCTGCTGCATCTCCATTCCGGCCATTTTGGGGTCAGGCGCAACGGCGGCCATGTTTCACGGGGTCGATCCTTCACTGACAAAAAAAAAAATATCTCCCAGACCAAAGAACCAATAATCCTTCGAACAAAGACTTGTCTCTGATCCGTAGTGACACACGGGGTCCGAAACTAGGTCGCGAACACAGCTCTGGATCGCAAGAAACAATACGGGAGGTATGTTATAGACGGTTTAGTGTGCGGCACCGTTTTCTACTAGACTCGTTGAGCAGGAAGAGAAATTATGCGTGACGGAGCATCACAGGTAGCCTGACCTGGAGTCCTGTCGGCCAGGGCAACCGGTAAACAAAGAGCCGACGCGACAAAATACGTAGGCGGCTGTGAATGCACCGGGCACTTAACGGGGCAGCAATCATCTCTCAGCCACGCAGGGAGGTTAATAATGTGTTTACCGTCGCTGTAAGAAACAGGAGGAGCCAGTAGAAACAGATAAAAACCCACTGGTCCCGGGCCGGGGTTCGAACCCACGACCTCCCGAGCACCAGCTTCCAACTCCGACGCTCTAACCACTCTGCTAAAAGGTCTAGACC